TTTTTTCTTTTTTTTTTGTTTACAAAATATACAATACTTGATGTCTAATTTCTCAGTGAACATTTTTTTAAAAAAGAAACAGCAAGTTTAAAAGTCTACTTATCACAAAAAGCATATATTCTTCCATGGTCTCATTCACACTAAAATATGGCCTGTAAATTATATACAATAGACATTTCACATACAAACACTAAGAACAAACAAAATTGTCTCTTTAAAAAGAAATGCAGATAAAACAACCAATTAAAAAGAACTCCTTGCACAGGAATCCTGATGGTCCCATATTGGAGGCTTATAGAAACCATCAGCAGTACTAGAATACATGCATACCTCCAGACTGACTACTTTAAAAACAATTCAATCACAAAAACATAGAAAAGAAACATTTCAGAAAATGTCACATGATGACTTCAGAGGCTTTGATAACACGGGCGCAACTACTCTACAGTCATCCAACGACTCAGACTCGAGCCATAAGTACACTTTACCTCCTCGCGGAAAAGAGGAAGAGTTTCCACGTGCGTGGCGGGCCCTTCCTCCCGGACAACGCGTTCGAACGAATCCGAGAGGGAAGTACAGAGGACGCCGCCGTTACGGTGCGTCTGATATGGTAGCGTGACACGTGTGCGACACGAGCGTGACGCGGCGTGACGTGGCGTTACGTGACGCCGTTCGCGTGCCAACTTTGCAAGGCCGACTCACGACTCACTCAGACGGTCGACACCTCTGCCACTAATGTGCAGCGTTAACTACGCAGCGCGGACAGCGGCGAAAAGCCTCCGGACAAATCAAGAAAACCTCGTGTTCTCAAAAAAAATATTTAAAAAAAAAACGATACCTCAATCACATTTCATCGTTGGTCAACTAGTGAAATTCGCCCCAATTCATGATAAACGCGACAAAAACGACAAAATACCAAAGCAAATAAGAAAATTTAAACATTTTAAAACTTTATGAAGAAGAAATTACGAAAGAACTAATCATAAGGGAAAGTTTCGGTCAAAGGATATGGCAACATAATGTCCGACATGGACCCCCAAATGCAGTAAGTTCAGGGCCCTGGCTCATTCGTACACAGCCACAGAGACCATTTAGTAGAACACATAATGCACTACCTATTTCCACTAATTACATCAGACTATGTGACACACAAATATCCACTTATAAAATATCACGCGCACGACACAATCTCCCTGAAGTCGAGCACCACTTCCCATAGTGCACTGGCACACGACGACCCAAACGGTTGCCACCAAGACTCGCACGGACACACCGAAACAGGCGTATCTTTAAATTCGTTTCCTATGCGTCGTTTATGACAAAACGACAAAAAATACCACACACACACAATTTTTTAAAAAACCTATGGGAGTTACCGTTTATCCGATACCCTTTTCTTTCGAGGGCGACAGCAACCGCTATGAGATCTCGTTGGACGAGACAGGTGCAGCAGGTGCAGCTGGTGCAGCTGGCGCAGCTGGCGCCGCCGGCGGCACGGGCCCGAAGAAGCCCAGCGTCCGCAGCGTGTCCGTGGTCCGCGCGATCAGCTGGTCCTTGTACTTCCAGATGGTCGTGTCGGCCACGCTGTTCTGCCGGTACTCGACGCACGTCTTCTTGAGCGTCCGCACGCAGTCGGCGCGGTAGTGCTGCAGCTGCGCGTCCGTCGTGTCGACCGGGTACGACGTGCAGCCCGAGCCGAGGCACGACAGCGGGAAGTGGTTGTGCAGCGTGAGCGCGCGCTCCGGGTTGTGGAAGCACTTGACGTACTGGTTGGGCTTGGTGAAGTTCTTGCTGCGGTACACGTGCTGCAGCATGTGCATGTACTTGGGGATGTCCTTGTACCAGCCGTGCGCGTGGATCAGGTCGTCGAGGAAGTACACGTTGCGCACGTTGTACGAGGCGCGCGTCTCGTTCTTGACGGCGAGGGCCTTGGGCAGCACGGCGTCCATGAGGTCGCGCCAGCCGTGCGCCTGGAGCGGCATGATGACCTCGTCGATGTCCAGCAGCGCGATGTACTCGTACGTGTACAGGTTCTTGTACAGGCAGTCGTTGTAGGGGATCAGCTCGTTCTGCCGCTTGTGGTTCACCTTCTTGACGAGGTACATGTGCTGGAAGCCCGGGATGTTGGGCTGGCCGCCGGGCAGCGTCAGCGGCGTCACCGAGGCGCGGCCCAGGCTCTCGTAGTGGCGCAGCACCTTGCTGATGTTGGGGTGCACCTGCGGAGAGGAGGACGGCGTCGTTAGAACACGAAAAAGAGTACACCAAATTTTTTTTTATTCTTTTTATTTTTCCCGAATTTTTCTGAATTTTTTCCGATTTTTTTCTAAAGCGTTCCTCGACGCGGAGCCCCTGGCGACGGCCGCAGGCCGGGCCCGTCGAGCACGCGTGCACAGCGGGCTGCCTACCCCAGCTTCGCAGGCGCTCAGCCGAGCGGCACCCACCCACACCCACCCACCCACCCTTGCAGGCCCCCGCGGAAGACATTGTCAAACTTAAATAGAACAGCACCCACCTGCAGCTCGTAGAAGAAGACCTTCTCGGCGCCGAGGATGCCCAGCAGCTCGATCCACTCGACGAGCCGGACGGACAGGTCCTCGTGCAGGAAGTCGAGCCCCTTGACGCAGACGGCGAAGCCCTTCTTGGTGGCGGGCCGGTCGTACAGCACCCGCAGGTGGTTGGTGGCCGTGTCGCAGGGCCGCTCGACCATCGACACGGACACGGGCACCTTGGCGTGGTGCGACTTGGGGATCTGGCAGGCGATGAGGTAGGGCTGGTAGATCCCCTGCTTGTAGTTGCCCCACTTCTTGTACCAGATGTACTTGTACTCCATCGTCTTGACGAGCACGGGCTCCTTCTGGCCGTCGAACCAGAACTGGCAGTACGTCTTGACGGTGGGCTCGATGCGGTTGATCATGCCCAGGATGCGGACCGCCGGCCCGATGCGGCTGAAGCGGCGCACGTCATAGTAGGCGCCGTACAGCTGGAAGGTGCCGTTGGTCGTGTGCATCGTCTGCCAGTACACGTTGTTGAACTCGAGCTCGAAGATGGACGGCATCTTGGCGCAGCTCTCGTTCTTGTAGAACATGGGCTTGTTCTTGTTCTTGAGCCAGAAGTCGACCGGGACGCGCGGCAGCGTGCGCGCGATCTCGGCCTCCGCCTCGGCCTGCGTCCGGTTGCTGCCGTTCCGGTCGACGAACGGCTCGGCGCCGAGCAGCGACTCCAGGGTGGCCGAGGTGGTCGTCGACGACTGCGCGGCGCCGCTGCTCGCGTCCGTGTGCGGCGTGCTCATGACCTGCTTGGCGAGCAGCAGCCGGCTGCGCGGGTCGCCGCCGACGTGAGGGTCCACGCGGCCCTCGCGCAGCTGCAGCACGGCCAGCATGACCAGGCCCCAGACCAGCAGCACCGCCAGGCACCGCCGCACCAGCCGCCCCATCCTGCAACACGACAAACACACACGCTTGTTAAAGGTTACAGAAACATTTAGAGTGACAAGCACTCTACATCGGATTGGAATTCATGGACGATCAAGATTGGGTTGTCGTAAATTTACAATATATTTTATAAATCGAACATAAAAGTACGCTGTTAATTTAGCCAAATAATTAGTTATGCCGCACTTATCTATTATTGACTTAGCTACAACAGCTAATCATTTTTTTCTTTTTTATTTTGCCCGTGCAGAAAAGCCAAAATGCTCGCTTTGCCAGAGGTCCTGCCCTGCTGGATAGGAGGCCCTCCCACACAAGTCTGTCCCACCGCCGCCACGCGCGACCGCCCGGCCCGCCCCGCGTCCGACCCAAATGTAAAACCGCAATCATCCTCCTGACGGTCGAGCCGAGCAGTCTGCTCTGCGCTCTGCGGTCCCACCGCGCCGTCCCGCGTCCCCCAGCCAGAACTCGCGGGAATGTCACCCGTTGCACTTTGCTTTGGCGGCGGTGTGCGCGCGCTCTGTGACCGACCGACCGACCCCCTCCGGCGGACCCATGGGCATGAGCTCACCGGGCCATGGCCCAGAGCTCCTCATGGCCCGTGTGCCTCGAGGGGGATTTAGCAACTTCCCCGCCGCGAGTGCCCGCCCCCCTCCCCTTTCCTACCGGACCGCGCGTTGTCCGTCCGTATCACTGTGCATCTGGGCCGCAAATTGCGTATCACACGCCACAGCAAAGCGTCCTCCCCCGGTCCTCCCTGAACACGGCCGACTCAGTCAAAATATCATTAGTACGCTAATTACAACCGAAATTATTTTCTCATCATCATCGAGTTCGTACGTGCGACGTTCGGGCTAGAGACAATCCATCCATCCCTGCGGAGCAGCAGCAAACGACAAAACACACTTTGGATGTGTGAACGTAGGGAACGTAACACGTAGGGATTTGGAAGTACAAAAATTTTCCGGTAAATTTAAAACTTTTCGGAAAAAGTTGAAAAAGAATATGAAATAAGAGAACAAACGAATTAGGATTTTATTTTTAACCTTTGAAAAAACATTGAAAAATTGCCTAAAACTTCTTCACTGGAAAAGGTAAAATCACTTGCGCCACATTGCCGGTGGTGGAGGCCAAGCAGCAGCAGAGACTGGTTGTCTAGGAGAGATAGCGACTCCCCTCCCCGACTCTTCACCTCCCCCTTTTCCTCCTCTTCCCGACGCTCCGTTTTCCTGATTTCCACGCACGCGGCACGCGCCCATGCATCATCGGGGCGCTTGCTAGGCTAGACGCATGCGCACGCACGACACACACTGGCTAATTAATTCCGTATCGCACAGCCTGTGCCGCCGGGTCACTGCTGCCTCCGCCGCCGCCGCCGGCCGCCTGCCTGCTGCACCTCCGCGATGATACGCAGAGGGAAGGTCGTGCCGGCCACAATAGAGAAGTACTCACGGGTGGTAGCCGAGCCGGCGCTTGAGCCGCTCGCTTATTATTGCTCAACACTCGTGTCATCCGAGCGTGCGTGAATGAGTGAGTGAGAGAGACAAGCGCGGGGGAAAAATGAAAACGAAAAGAGAAGAAGAGAGAAAAAAAAAAACAGGCACAAGGTTCACGACTGTTTTAAGACGCCACATACAATAACCACATCGTCATAACACAACAACAACAGCTGGGCGTTAAGGGTGCTCTAGCTTGTAACGCCTTAGGAGCTTGCGCGCTGTACTTGCGGACTGAAGCCAACATATGGGTGTCAGTTTTTAGTGACAAATAAAACTTTCATCTATTAAAAAGATAAGAATTAAAACTCTAAATTGTGAT